ATCTTTTCCAGTTGGTTCACTAAGAAAGGATCTAACTCCTGGGTCCTTAAATCTCATCCATTAATCTATTAGTCCTTTCAACATACTCAATTCAATGTTCCTAAGGGTGAGCTCACACATCACGCTTAAGTCTTTAACCTCCTCAATCAAATTCAACCCTTACATTATAAAAAACGATAGATGACCTACTTAAGGCATTTATCACCATATTAGCTTTAATTTTATGACCCTCTCCAAGGATTAGGCACCTAAGTGTAAGTTCACTATGTACTCGAGTCATACCTAGTTTCACACAACTAGGAGTAATTTCACAAGTCAAACTTAAATTCCTAATGTGAGCCAAAAGATACATCTCTTTTAACCATAAGGGAAGATAAATACAAAGGTTTCCTACTCAAAGCATGGATCACCACATTGGCTTTACCCAAACAACAACTAAGATTAATTAAAATCCTATTTCTTAATAAATTCCAACTATTTCTTTTGTCTCATATTCAACTTCTTTGGGTCAAACAAATATTTAAGACCATTATGAACACTAAATACCTCAATCTTAGAATCATACGAGTAATGTCTCCAAAATCTTAAGTGTAAATATTACAACCTCTAACTCAAGGTCATAGGTAAGGTAATTCTTTTCATGAATTTTCCATTACCTAGATGCCTAAAAACATAAACTACTGTCTTTCCTTCTTGCATCAACAATCCACCCAAACCCGTCTTTGAAGCGTCACTATATACCCCATAAAAATTACTAGAGTCTAGTAATATTAACACTAGCCAATCTTTCATTTTGGAAACTACTCTCACACTTACTATTTTATAAAGGCAACTCTCTCTTCCTGGTCAATCTAGTCAAAGGTAATGCTATCTTAGAATTTCCTCAATAAATCTCCTATAATAATAAGTTAATCCAAGAAAACTCTTAACTTGACTAATTGACTTAGGTATTTCCCACTTAAGCACAACTTCTACCATAGATAGCTCTACATTATATCTCCACTAAAAATTACAAGACCTAGAAAATTCACTTCATACAATAAAAATTCATACTTAGATAACTCAGCGTAAAGTTGTCTTGGATATATTTTCACCCTCAACTCTAATATGATGATATCACATCCTATGGTCAATCTCACTAAATACATAAACATCCACTAATTGATCCATAAGGTCATCTTTTCTCATATCAACATACATGCATATCAAATCATATTAGAATACCTACTTTAAACCATCATATATACCATCCCTAAGCATGTACAAATTAATCACCGTTTACTCCATATAGCATGTACATGAACAACCTTTACCACATATATAGCATCATACAACCTTAAAGAAACTTTTGATCCACGAGACAAAACTTCAAAACATCATAACAAAATCATATTTTATCCTTGCATTGCCTAATAACTCACAAACATCATGATAGCATATATATTTCTTCAACAACTATCAAAGAAAATGATATATAGAGAGTTATACTCATCCAAGTGATCTCAAACCTATCACAAAAGAAAGCCAAGAGAATAAGCTACAACCCTTATGAAGACTTGAAATTTTAGAATTATCATATACTTAGCTAAAAATTTCAAAAACTGTAATAGATATAATCAGCGCTAATAGCTAGACCTTTGCTCACTAAAATAGTCATAACAGAAGTTCTAGATCTCCATTGTACCTGATTTTGGTTCCCTTAGAAGGATAACATCCAAGACTACAATTTTTATGAAGATCATAAAATCCAATTCTGTCAATATAATACTTGTAATGGAGCAATAAAATTGCAGCTAAAACATTCCCTGCACTGATCAGTAAAAGAGCGCACCAAAGTTTAAGGCCACAAAAATACCTTAAAACACTTCCAAACCATTATATAACCTTCCTCATACAATCCTAAAACAAGAAAACTCACATCTTACCCACAAACAACTTAGAAACTAAAATAAAATCCTCATACACCTAACCCATAAAAACTCAACATGCAAGCATCAAAATTCAAGAAATCATATAGAAAAAATTTAAAAGTAATAAAGAAAATATAAATTAATTCCAATAAAGGTGGCAGTGCCTCCTAATTAGGAATAATTTATAACTTCCAAATCATGTAATAAAAAATAACAGAGATGCACACTTTGGCCTTTTATCAAGAACATTCAAAATTTCAATTCTCAACATACAACCTCCTGGGATTCAATCGCTGCAATTATAGACTTCATCTACCAAACAAGCATGGTAAACTCATAACTCACGACCGATTGGATCCACCTGCTCTGATACCACTCAATGTAACGCCCGATTTATATAATGTTAAATATATTTTTTTATATGATATTATGACAATTATATCATTAATAATATTTTTCATAAGGACAAAAGAAAATTTTGTGAACTTATTACATTACATATCGTTATAAAAATATTTACAATAATGTACTATTTTACACATTATTTCTTACTTCCACTTCTATTACAATATTTATATTGATAATGGAAATAAATTTACAATTGAAATAATATGGTTGGCAAATAAAATTATAATAGATCCGTCAAATAGCCTCCACATTCCAATTCCTTCCAAGGACAACAGTAGCTATAAAATGACCTGGAATCATTGGTAGATCCATCTATTTTGTAATATATTTAATTTTAAAAAAAGCAAAGAAAAATGAGAAGTAAGAACAATATCCAATAAATACAAATAATCTAATAAAATATACGGAATCATTCATAATCAATATTTTATATATATATATATATATATATATATATATCATATAATAGATTTTCATATTACGATAAAATTTGAATTATAATTGTAGTGACTACTCAGGATAAATAAGCATCATCACAATATCAACCAACAAAAGAATATTTCACCTTAACCAGCAAGAGGGTATTTCACCTTCATTCCTTACTCATTTAAATTCCCAAGGTCAAACCTCCAGCTACAATTAATTCAAATTTTATCTTCTATGACCATAGAATAATATTTATCTTCGTAAATACGTGAAGAAATACCAACAAGACGAGTCAAAAATATTAAAACTATATTATAGTTGATTATAAAAAGAATTTATTAAGAGTACCAATCATATAAATAAAAATGACAATCATTATAAAATAATTAAACAATATAAAATATGAACACTTTATTAATTATTATGGGTAAAAATAATCATAGATTAAGCAAATAAATGAGGTTAGGGACACCTCACTAAATAAATACAAATAAAATATAACATAAATAAATAAATATAATAACATAAAATTTTAAAGAGATAAAATTCTCCTCCCCCTACCTTAAAGTTGCTTTTATTTTTCTCTCTTTTCTTTCTTTTTCTCACTTCTCATTTTTTTTTTTAAAAGTTCCCTGTCCAATTTTGTTTTTTCGAGTTCCTGTTGAATGCGTTGTTGTTCCGTTCCTATTTATAGGCCCGTTGGCATGCACATTTCTTCTTTTAATTTTTATTTTTTTTACTGCGCACCATCTTATCTATATTGTGCACCTTATTTATTTTCTACCTTATCTCTTCAGAATCGTACACCTTATCTCTTCAGAATTTACTATCCTATTATCCCTTCAGAATTTACTATTTACTGTCCTATTATCATCTATCTTATCATTATATACTGCACCTTCGTGACAGTGTGACACCCTTACTACCCCAACACATATATTGTAACTTTACAAATAAATGTTTAAATTTCGGTAAAAAAGGGTTCACACGAGAAACTTCAAAAATCGTTCTTCAATAACCACAATATTAAAGATTTAGAAAATGAAACACAAAAGTTTACAAATTATTTTCAAAATGATATTTACAATTCCAAATCCATATAAAAATTTTGTCCTAAAAGTCCTCTCCCTCGATGTCACAATATCAGAGCATACCCCCAATTTAACTGTTGGCATTCTAGATGTCACTCGCAGCCAGATCTTCCTCACCTAAAACATCCACAAAATTGTACGGTGAGAAAAGAAAACATCTATATGTAAAGTACATACAAACACACAACATATCATCTCATTATAACTCGATACTTAACAAAATATTTATAAACATTTCAATGTATCATAACTTTATCAATCGCGCATCATCATCACGTCACCATTCGCAATCACAACAATCATCACAAATCTTGCAATCAACCCTATGCCAAGGTCACGCCTATAGCATCTCTTGCCCAAGGTCGTGCCATAAAAATGACAATCATTATAAAATAATTAAACAATATAAAATATGAACACTTTATTAATTATTATGGGTAAAAATAATCATAGATTAAGCAAATAAATGAGGTTAGGGACACCTCACTAAATAAATACAAATAAAATATAACATAAATAAATAAATATAATAACATAAAATTTTAAAGAGATAAAATTCTCCTCCCCCTACCTTAAAGTTGCTTTTATTTTTCTCTCTTTTCTTTCTTTTTCTCACTTCTCATTTTTTTTTTTAAAAGTTCCCTGTCCAATTTTGTTTTTTCGAGTTCCTGTTGAATGCGTTGTTGTTCCGTTCCTATTTATAGGCCCGTTGGCATGCACATTTCTTCTTTTAATTTTTATTTTTTTTACTGCGCACCATCTTATCTATATTGTGCACCTTATTTATTTTCTACCTTATCTCTTCAGAATCGTACACCTTATCTCTTCAGAATTTACTATCCTATTATCCCTTCAGAATTTACTATTTACTGTCCTATTATCATCTATCTTATCATTATATACTGCACCTTCGTGACAGTGTGACACCCTTACTACCCCAACACATATATTGTAACTTTACAAATAAATGTTTAAATTTCGGTAAAAAAGGGTTCACACGAGAAACTTCAAAAATCGTTCTTCAATAACCACAATATTAAAGATTTAGAAAATGAAACACAAAAGTTTACAAATTATTTTCAAAATGATATTTACAATTCCAAATCCATATAAAAATTTTGTCCTAAAAGTCCTCTCCCTCGATGTCACAATATCAGAGCATACCCCCAATTTAACTGTTGGCATTCTAGATGTCACTCGCAGCCAGATCTTCCTCACCTAAAACATCCACAAAATTGTACGGTGAGAAAAGAAAACATCTATATGTAAAGTACATACAAACACACAACATATCATCTCATTATAACTCGATACTTAACAAAATATTTATAAACATTTCAATGTATCATAACTTTATCAATCGCGCATCATCATCACGTCACAATTCGCAATCACAACAATCATCACAAATCTTGCAATCAACCCTATGCCAAGGTCACGCCTATAGGAACCATGGTTAAGGCTAGCTTGCTCTCCAAGCTGCCTACTCCTATATTTTCGTTTTTCCTTCATTGTAAAACACTTTTGGATGTATTGAGATTTCATTTCTGAAATATTATTCAGATTAATCTCTCCTAAAAGTCCCTAAACCTCTTTGATATTCATCCAATTCTCTTATCCCTTCACTAGAAGAGTGTGGTGAGAATTGAAGTGGCTTATCTCTTCATCAAGGAGTGGCGTCTCTTGGGAGAGTTCTCCACCAAACCGTGGTAGTTCTAAGGTCTTCTCCTCCATTGGAGACCTTAGCAAAGCTTAGGAAGAATCAAGGAGCCGAAGATCTAGGGAGGAACTTGAAGAGGATTCACATCAATCCGGATTCTCCAAACAAGTTTTCATCAGTTCGTATCATCCCTGGTCATCCAGGAGTACGCTCGTCCCTGAAGCATCACCTACCCAGGGTTCGTATCATCCCTGATCATCCAGGAGTACGCTCGTCCCTGAACCATCACCTACCCAGGGTTCGTATCATCCCTGATCAATCGTGTGAGGGACCACAAACACATCGTAATCACATTCATACAACATCTCGTCTCATATCACAATTACATATCACATATACAATTCCATATCACATATTCAACAGATAAGTCCAACAAAATAAGGATTTACATACCCCTTAAGCAAATTCACATCTAGATCATCATTTCTTATCAAGTAATATAACATTCATAAATTAATATAATAATTAATGGAATTACACATTTAACATAATCTTAACATAAATAGTAAAATCCCCAATTGTTCCAAAACCTAACTCACAGGCACTTTTCTACAATTTCGTTCCCTCTCCCAGATCACCATTCTTACAAATTAAATATATATTTCTAATCCTCAACACATACAAAATCTAATGGAACCATTAATTCCTCAAACAGAAATAATCCAATTTTTCCAAAACCTAACTTACAGACACTTTTCTATAATTTCGTTCTCTCTTCCAGAGCATCATTTTTACAAATTAATCATATATTCGTAGTCCTAAATATATACAGAATAACATAAGACCAATAATTCTCCAAACAGAAATAATTATAAAATTACTCATAATCCTACGAGCTTCCTCTTCTACCCAATTCCCTCATGTAACTTTGCATACAAATAATCCCCTTTTCCCCCGTACCTGGATAAACAACAGTTGAACTAAAACAGGAATCTCTTGGTCTCCTCCTCTAAGTGCCCCTTGGTCTTCAGAGAGAAGAAGAGGGAAAGAAGAGAGAACAGAAGAGAATAGGGAGAGAGAATGAGAGATGTGTGAAAATGAGAGGTGAGGACGCTATTTATAGGATTTCAGGCTCATCTACCCAGAACGGCCCGTTCCAAAAGTGGAACGCCCGTTCTGGACCCTTCAAATCTACGCAAAATTTTAAACTGGAACGGCCCGTTCCAAAACCAGAACGGCTCATTCTCAATCCCAGCAAAACGACCCGTTCTCCCTCCGTAACGGCCCGTTCTCCAAACCAGAACGGCCCGTTCTGCTTCTCCAATTTTGGGCATTTTACTTATTCCGAAACGGCCCGTTTCACTTTTGAAACGGCCCGTTCCGGGCAACGAATTGGGCCTACGGCGCAGTAAAAATTCTGCATCTTCGAAAATTACTATCCTATTATTATTTATTTTAATTATAAAATCCCTTTAATAATCTCTATAAATATTAAAAATAAATAATAATCAATTACTAAAATCTCTAAAATGTTCTATAAAAACCCTTTTTATTAATTAATAACTATAAGAAAATAATTTCTATAAATATGAAAATAATAATTAACTATTGTATAAAATTTGAGATGTTACATATTCTATATTTTACCTTTCAGTTTAAGGTCCCTGCTATCTCCATGCTCCCTCAGTTCTTCCACTTTTAGGTGTACCCTTCTTGAGTTTTGATCTGTTTCATTATTTTGAATGCCCATATTCTGATCTCCCACTAACATCTTCGGCTTGAGGTTATTTTTTCCATTTTCGGAGTAGCACATATCCCGCTTATGTTCTCCTCTATGCTCATTTGGTCATCTGAATCCCCTTTATTCTCTTCGCTATAGATGTGACTATCGTTGGATTGGCCCAAAACACCTTTCTGTATTTCAATAATCCTATTTTGCCTTTCTGCAAGCCCACACCTTAGTCCCATATTATCCTCTACCCCTTGTTGTTCTGACTATCCCATGTGATATTTTCCAACCTGTCCATTATCTCCTTTACCCTGATTTAATTGCTCTGCATTATCACCGCCCTCATACCTACTTTGAGCCCCTCGCATATAGGTTACTGCTCTAGCCGTACTACTTTCACCAATTTGTTGTACATTCTGCCTGCCTTCTATATCGTCCTCACCTGTCAGTTTTCCAGTATCTGTTTCCATATATTTGTTCCTCTGGTCATTACCCCCTGGTCCAAAATTTGAAAAATCATCGTTGCCTCCATCGTCGTCGCTCTTTCCTCTGTCTTCCTTAGAGAAACCACCTTGTTGAATTGTTTCATCCACCAATGTTTGCACTAGATTGTTTTGTTCTGCAGAGCATTCCGATTCAGAAGACCTTATCTTCATCCATAGTCACTTGCCATACTAGACTCCTCAAAAGACGATATATGTTTTTGCCATCTCCAACAGTTACAAACACGTGTCTTCACCCCCGTCTCCTCTATTACTTGGATTTCTCTGATGACACCATTGATTCTGATTCTGGTGCTATACCAAATGGGCTCAAAAGACGTTGTCCTAATGAGAAGTCTTGCTTGGTCCAGTTTGTTACACTTTTTTGTATCTTTATCAATATGGATCATATTACCTCTTACCCCAATCACCTGTGAAAAGCATGAGACTCCCCATTGTTGTATTGGTATCCCAATACACTTTACCCATGTCACCCTGTTTCCTGTCCAAATACCAAGTCGCCACTTCTCAATAGAGGTGAAAAAATGTGTGAAGATATCATTTTCATTCCTAATTCGTTCTTGTAGACCTTCCTCTATTATCCCTGAGATGAGTACCATATCGTCTATTATATATCTCATCTTGACATCGAGTAAGAAACACGTCTCAGTGAGGCGCTCAAACATTGTAATATCTTTTAACCTTCCAACCCAACACTGCTCTAACCACTTTACATTTTCTTCAGGGACATCAATGTCTTGTCCTAACCACCTATCAACTCCCTCCCCCTCATGACTATGCTGCTTCTGCTTAGGCTTCCACTCAACATTCCCCTTCATCAGCCCTCCTTGTACCACTTGTGCATACGTTTTCCTTTTGAATCCCATGTTTCGTCCCTTCTGTTCTTCTATCTTACCCAGTTGGGTTTGTAGATTCTTTCCATTGTTCCCATTGCTCCACTCATTCTTCTTATAACATGGGATATTGACATGCATTTTTATATTTCCAATCTTAATCCTATCTAGTTGTTGCTCCAATATCTTATCATTCTCCACTCCAGAGAAGCGGACGAAGCCATATCTTTGCCCCCATCTATTGCGTCTATTGGCTATAAACACCTCCCACACCTTCCCCCAACTTTGAAATACTTTCCAAAAATCTGTATTATTATAGTATTCTGGAAATTTTGAGAAGAAGAAAGTCAAAATTCTTCCCCATTGCGTGAAGTCTGATGTCTTTTCCTTATTTCTGTTCGGTGCACCTCCTTTGTACCGCCGCTCCCTCCATTGTACCGCCGACTGCGGTGTATATCTAAACCCGCTTTGCATCGTCGTCAACTCTTTTTTGATATATACACATCTTTTTTTTATAAATACATCTCCTTTATTTTTTTTAAAAAAATTATAATTTTTTTTTTAATTTTATATCTCTAATTTTTAATTTATTATTTTCTTCTTCTTTTTCACACATCTTTTTTTCTTTTTTAATTTTCACATGCACCATTTCGTCTTTTCCTAATTTTTTACCTATTGTCAAAAAGGTCACCCACACCTATAATATTATTGAAAATTAGTTTTACGTTTTACATGTGTGTGAAAACTAAAAGCGGGAAGAGAGGAGATAAGAGTAAGAAAACTAAAAGAGGAGGGAGGAAGAGTAATGTAAGACCAAAAGAATTAAAATTACTTACCAAATAAGTGAGATAAAGGAAAGGTAAGGGGTGCATGTTAAATTTGAAAAAATGATAAAAAAAAATGTATAAAAAAAGTACTAAATTAAATGTAGTGAGCGTAAAATTAAAAAATTAAAAATTAAAAATTAAAAATATTTTAAAATTTTAATTTTTTTTAAAAGGATATGTACTTATAGAAAAAAGGAGGTGTATATATCATAACCTAAACTCTTTCAAACGCAGCTCACTACGGCCCACATGCGTGGCCCAAAAGTAACCTAAATCACCTTATTGGACTAATACCTCCACTTAGCCAACATAGCCCAAAACATACGAAATACTTTTAATGTTAGAATATTTTTTTAATTATCGTAACTTTACTTATTTTATTTTTTAAATTTTTATAAATTAAAATATTTTTTAATTTATATATTTTTTAGTATTTTTTAGTTCTTATAATTTAAGATAGTTCTTTTAAGTATTTATATTTATAATTTTCTTAATCATTTTAATCTATGTTATTAACTATTTTTTTATAATGCTCCTTTTATATTGATGTTACAAAAATATTAATTCAATTTTGTGTGTTTGATATTAATTTTTTTTTGTTAGAATTACTTTAAATTAAATCTCTCGATACACTATGTCTCTTTTATCTCTCGCATATCGACATACGACACTCATTGTTGAGACACTTTTTTTATTCTCACGAATTTGAAAACCTCTATCATGTCAACACAAAATAAATAATATTATAAAATAAAATAAAAAAAGATAACAATAGGAACTAAAAAACTGTAAATATAAGACTAAAAAGTAAATTAAAAAAAATAATAAAAATTAAAAAATAAATATTTTAACCTACTTTTAATTTTCTAGACTGTTATAATATCTGCCGATTTTTTATAAAACCTACCAACCTCAATATATTATTCACTGTTATGAATAATAATTAGTGGCTTAATTAGTGGATGCCCTAAATGCAACCCTGAGCAGTTTCTGTTCAAGCATTCACTAATATTATTTTTACTAGACGAAAGAAAGCCTCATTGCAAAAAGTTTTTAAAATTCCTTTTTCACATACATACACATATTCAACCCCCCTTCTATGTGTTTTCATCTAACTTCATCATGTGATGTAGAAAAAATATTAATATAAGTTTTTCATTTTATTTCATGATCTTGTGTCATGATTTATTTTATCTCAATCTTATTTTATGTTTATTATTATTTATTTATTATTATTTTTTTACATTTGTAACACCGTAAAAGTAAAATTTATTTTTACCCAAAAAGTGATTGTTTTCCATTATTTGAAGTACACGATGTACATTTGTTTTTGTGGATATAATCTAAAGGTGGTTTGATGGTATCAATTAATCATGCTTTTCCTTATCTTCATTTCCCTTCCATAAAACCTTTTGCATCCTTTTATTCTTCCTTTTATTATTAGTGAATATGAGATACTTCATCTCTCGTTAAAAAGAAATTAATAATAATAATAATAATAATAATAATAAAATTAAAAAAAAATGCATTTAATTTCAAAATAGTAATATACTTATATAAATTAGTTAAAAAATAAAAAATATAATTTAACAAACTAGTTAAGAAATAAAAGAGTTCAAAAAATATGGACATCAAGATAATGTTATAATTTTTTTTTGGCTAAAAACCTATTTGGGTCCCTTATAATAATTGTTTGTTTCAATTTAGTCCCACTTTTATTTTTGGTCTCAATTTGGTCTCTCATAAGTTAATTGGTTTCAATTTGGGACTTCCGTCCAAATTATTTAAACGGAGTTAACTGTTGGCCACGTGGATGCCACGTAGATGCATACGTGGACGCCAAATCTTGTGAAAACACCTGGAACCAGAACGACCCGTTCTGAAACCAGAACGGGCCGTTCTGGATGCACTCTTGGTGTGTTAATTTTGCATCCGAAACGGGCAGTTCTAGATGCAAAATTAACACACCACCAGTACATCAGAAC